CTTTCTCCCTCTCTCTCTCCCTCTCTCTTTCACCCCATCCCTCTCTCTCTCCCTCTCTCCCCTCTCTCCCCATTCTATCTCCTCCACTCTCTCTCTCTCTCTCCCTCTCTCCCCTCTCTCCCCATTCTATCTCCTCCACTCTCTCTCTCTCTCTCCCTCTCTCCCCTCTCTCCCCCTTCTATCTCCTCCCCTCTCTCTCGCTCTCTCTCTCTCTCGCTTCTCTTTCTCCCTCTCTCTCTCTCTCCCTTCCCCCATCCCTCTCTCTCTCCCTCTCTCACCTCTCTCTCCCCATTCTCTCTCCCCTCTCTCTCACTCTCTCTCTCCCCCCCCTCTCTCCCTCTATCTCTCTCTCTCCCTCTCCCCCCTCTCCCTCTCTCTCCCCCCCCACTCTCTTTCTCCCTTTTTCTCTCTCTTATTAACGTTGAGTTTTAATTGTATAGCAAAACAGAGTGATATATATGCTATATGTAGAACCAAAAAATCCCTGTGCATACCCTTATAAAATGTATCTGTGATCCATATGAGTAAACTTTACTTCCCAAAGATCACCCTTCATAGGGCAGACTGTTAAGGTGTGTGACTGGCGCTGCTGCTCATAAACCTCTGTGACCAGCTCTCATATTAAAGTTTGTTGGGCTGAAGGTTATAAATCTGAATAAAATAAGACTAAGAAAAGCTTATCTGGTGTTGGAGGAATACATATTTGTACTGAAACCATAGATGTAGATTACAACAAAGTCATCACATACAGAAAACAAAGCTTTGGTGGCACTTATTTATTACAAGATGGGACTCCCCAACGATCATGGGCAGTGTGTCCTTTGCTATCTTGGTGGAAGGATCTCCTGTGACTTGTAGTTCCACAGTGACTGTGCATGGACTTAGGTTATAACAACAGAGAGAAAATAAAACCCTGGGTTGGGAATTTAGCCCAAAAAATAAAAAATAACTAAAGAGAAACATTAAGTGGAAAGAATGTCTTCTCTTTTACGAAGTAGTGATTAAAACAGAGGTGATAGTATAAACACATAAAAGGTTAAAATGTAGACTTTGCTTTATAAGGGTTTTTTTTTCCCAGAAAGGTGTTTAATTTATTTATTTATTTTTGTCAGTATAAAATATGTAAAACAAATATAACAATGTATTTTTATTATTCCATTAACTAGAGAAAAAAATAACTATCTATTCAGCTCAGCATCTCACAACTCCAGAAGTTACAGTAGTAAATATAATAATAGTAGTAATCATTATAACATTCTTGTTATGATTATACTACTACTACTGCATCATAATAATAATAATAATAATACAATGTATTTTAAACCAGCAATAATCTTTTTGTTTAAGCTAGGCAATTCAATTGTTATTAATTAATTCAATATTTATGTCTGCTTAGCTTTCCTCCTCAAATGATATCAGTGGCCACCAATTTCCCGATTGTATTTTATGTCCCTGGTGATACATTGGTATGTAATCACAAGTATTATATAATAATAGTTTATAAAATCTGAAAGTGTTAAAGTTGTTTAATTTCGTATCGGCAAATAAAGAGCTTCTATTCCTGCCCCTGTGGATGAGAACTATTGTTTGCTCTGGGGATTTGGGATATGAAGTGTCTCTGACCCTCTGTAGAAGTCTGAGACCTGCACATAGGAGCAATACACGAAGTGCCGATCTTATAAGAGAAAACTCTTCTGCTTGTTTATGAAGTTATCTGTCATTTTTATTCTGAGATACAAAAAAAAAAGAAATATCACATATTTGTGATTCTTCAGCTCTGTGACAACATGACTTAAATCTTTATAACTTTAGTGACAATCAATAATTCCCGGGAGGGAAGACGAATTTCCTAGTTTACACATACACACTGCCCATAAAGCATTTTCTAAATAAATGAACAATCTTTGCATCATTTATATTTTATTTTTCTGACGTTTCGATTGATACAGTCCACGATGCAAAACTAGCTGAAGGATTTTAATTGCTAGTAATCTATTTAAATAATTCGCAACGAATTTTATGCGACCCTTTCCTTTCAGGCACCAAGCAAGGAAGCTTAGGTGAAGTTTCTTGTATCTGACGTTTAGCATTGAAGAGAGTACAGGATGGGCTCTCCCAGAACCACAAATAATAAAAGGAGAGATAATAAAAAGTAATAAAAGGAGAGACATGCCCACAATAGACCAGATTGTAGAGAGAAGACAAGTGAGAGCTGTAGGAGTACCATACTGATCATCCCATCTTACAGAAGGAATGCAAAGAATAACCTGTTCATGAAATATAGAATGAATAGTGATTCATTAATTTAATTGTCCATTAAATTACACTGAACATTACACAGTTGAAGTGTAATGTATACAGTGTGTGTATCATATATGTTCATATATGTTCACTTATGTAGAATTATAGAATGCAAAATGTCAATTTTATGTATAAGAAGCAGTATAAGCAGAGGAGTTGATTAACTAGATGAATAGAGACTGTCACTTAGCAAAAGTTTAGAAACTAGGGTGAGGTTGTGTGCACTTCAAACATTAATGATATACAAAATTCACGCAGAAAATTAGCCATTTATAGTAAATACAGCTGCTCCTTATTTACTACTCTTCATGAAAGTGACATTTTCTAAATGTACAATCTATTTTTCGTTAGTAAATAACCCTCATTGTGTTTGGATGCATATATATGGGGAATAAATATATATATATAACAATATAACATTATATTTTGCAAAACAATATATATATACAGTATATATAGATATATTGTTTTGCAAAAACTACAATGTTTCTGATAACTTTTATGACCTTGTCATTTCCCTTTATGATTTGTGACTAATACGGTTATAATTTTTTGCTATCAGCTAATCTTCTTTAGTAAATCAACAAGGGTTGATTTACTAAAGGACTGGGGACTGTTCTCGTAGCAAAGTGAACATTACTGAATACAAGGTGAACCTGTGTTTACTTTGCATAGCCAGTCATGTGGTAACAAAAATCCTGTTTTTTTGTTTGTGGTTTCCTTGGACATGATTGGGTATTGAACGGGTAAACAGCTTCATCTTATTCACCTAAAGTGACAATAAACTCAGGAGTTAAAACCTGCATTCAAGTATCCTAATTATTAACACAAATGTATCTTATTTGTGTATCACTCAAATCAACTCTGAATTGGTGCTGACACTGTCCTTCCTTCTGCAGGGTGGCTACTTTTGTTCCCCATGGTCCCTGTGTGTTGTAAAGTAGTCACCGCTCCAAGCTCACTCCTGTGATTGACTACAGTCTCAATACAAATGAGAAAACTATAAGCATGAGATTGTAGTCCATCAGGGAAGGGAGCTTGGAGCAGTGACTACTTTACAACACACACAGGGACCATGGGGAACAAAAGTAGCCACCCTGCAGAAGGAAGGACAGTGTCAGCACCAATTCAGAGATGATTTGAGGATCTACAGTCGAGTGATAGACAAATAAGATACATTTTTGTTAATAGTTAAGGTACTTCAATGTATTTTTAAGATTTAACTCCTGAGTTAAATCTTAGCATATTGAACGTTTGCTTTGCCAGATGAATAGCTATTCTAAAGCTGGCCACACACCTATAGATTATCTGCAGATTCTCTATGGTCAGATGGAAAAAGTGCAACAGATTCCTCCATCTACGCTAAACTGTGTGGATGGAGGAATCTCCTACTGGGTCAACCTTCAGTATCTTGCTAGTCCGCCCGGCTGGCTCTCAAAACACCTGAACAATGCATCCAATTAGATTGTTCAGGTATTTTGACAGCCAGCAGGGCAAGCTTGGCCCAGTGGGAGATTCCTCCATCCACACAGTTTACCGTAGATGGAGGAATCTGTTGCACTTTTTCCATCTGACCATAGAAAATCTGCAGATAATCTATAGGTGTATGACCAGCTTTATAAACCAACACCAACTTCAATGAGTAGTCAGTTTCTAAAGCTGGCCATGCACAGTAAAATGTATATTAGTTAGCTCATCCAATTTTTTTCAGTCAACAAACAATTGTGCGCAATCTGTCTCAATTACGTGTAAATTGGTTGCATAGTTGGGCCCATCTGTTACATAGTTGTTACAAAATATTGATGGACTGACCAACGAAACCCTCACTGGTTGTAAGCTGATTTGCACCATACAACTCAATTTAAAATGGCTTTTATGACTTTATGACTTAATTTTTTGATAGATCAGGACTACAAATTTCTCTGCTATCTGTTCACTGTATCTTTGATGTTTAGTTCATATATTTAGAATTGTACTTTGTATCTATAAACAAGAATAGTTGGTGTTAGGACAAAACGTGAAGATCAAGGCATTGGGAATGATGTCATGTGACCATTCATTGTGAGGTTTTATAGCGTCAGCAGGGACATACTGCTGACGCTATAAAAGTTATTATAAAATGCAGAAAACTGTAGTTTTAAAAACATAGCACATTCTATGATGTCATCAGGATTATTTACAAACCATTAATATGATTGCGCTTTTTCTGCAGGTGTGGTTTCAGAACAGGAGAGCTAAATGGAGGCGACAAGAGAAACTTGAGGTGACTTCCATGAAACTTCAAGACTCCCCAATCCTGTCTTTCAACCGGTCACCGCAACCGCCAGCCATGAGCGCCATCAGTAGCAACTTGCAGCTTGACTCCTGGCTCACCCAACCCATGTCCAACACCACCGCCCTGCAAACTCTGCCAGGCTTTGTCACCACCCCACAGAACCTCCCTGGCAGTTACACTCCACCACCATTCATGAACACCACTCCTGTTGGCCATGCCCTTCAACCGTTGGGATCCATGGGCCCACCACCTCCTTACCAGTGCGGCAACTTTGTAGACAAGTACCCTTTGGAAGAGATAGACCCCAGGAACACTAGTATAGCAGCCCTCAGGATGAAAGCAAAGGAACATATTCAGTCTATGGGCAAGCCTTGGCAAACCATTTAAAGAGTCAACCCTTCACGGTGGCCTCCTAGAATCAAAAGAAGTCTGAGACTTGAACTTTATGTGCCAAGCACAGCTGAAATCAGAGCTTCTTGAACTATTCTAAAAGTAAAGGTGGCCAAACTTTCTCAACGAATAATCTGACCTGTGAAATAACCTACATGCTAATTTATATACAGATGGGTACCTTGTACAAGGAGGGCAAACTTGGGCCCCTAGAGCAGAGATGCTCTTCAATAGGACCTCAGCTAACAGTTTGCCATGGACACCAAAATATGTGATTCCATATTGGAAACACTGGAGTGAACGTTATATATATGACTGTTGCAACATAAAAATTTACTTCACTTTGTCCTTTGCATTGAGCAACATTATAGCATAGTCTTCAACTATCAGTAATGGTAATCATCATACATATTGTTTTCTAGCCATACACATTACAATCTTTCTCCTGCAATCCAATTTTCATGGGCTTTAATTGTAAATTGCCATAATGCAAGAAGACAAGAAGCCTACTGTGATAGCAAATTGTAGTGTGTGTGGCCAAACCACAGAATTTGATCAACTTGTTGAAATTATACTGCAGTACTATAAATTTAATGGTGTTCAGGATTTTGACGTAAAAGTAAACCTTAAAAACAAATTTTACTTTTTTGGTCTTTCGAATAAAGTATTGAAAATGTTTTGTTATATTCATTTGATAAGTTGAAAAAAAAAAAAACCCTATAGGTCCTGCCATAAGGCCCTGTTCACACTAGGGTGTTTTGTTGCACCTTTTAAAAAAAAACTGCATGCAAATTAAAATCCCCTGTATTCCTATGGGGGCTGTTCACGCTAACGCGCTGAATCGCACGTCAAAATATGCCTGTTGTTGGAAATAGTCCCTGAGCTTCTTTTGTGGCACTTATCAGTTCGTTTTGCTCCATAGACTTCAATTGAAACAGGCCAATTAGCGCATTTTTGCATATTTTTTAGAGCATATTTGCAACTGAGACTGCTTTTCATCAGACAACTGAAAACGAGCTGAAAACGCGCCTTAAAACGCTATTACACATGAACAGAAAAACCCGAAACACGCATAAAAAAGTGCAAAAATGCGCGTAAACGCTGTCACCCTGGTGTAAATGGGGTCTTAATTCAGTGAGCTGATAACTTCCTGTGCTGTCTGTCTTTAATGTTCTGAAAATCCCTAGCAGTGTTATCAACTCTGCACAGTTCACTTTTGGTAACTACAGAACACCTCCAACTATATTGTGGAGATGAAGACATTAGGAGATCTGTAGTTTGAATAATGAGCTATCGGCATAGGGTGACAATGCTGCTCATCTAGAGATACAGCACACTGAGTGAACTTGGTTGCCCTAGGACAGGAAGTGTACTACTGGCAGGATCACCAGGTGAAAATAAAAGAAAACAAATGCAGCCACCACATCTAAGGATTGGTAAACTGCAGTAAATACATTTTATGTTCTAGGGTTTAGCTATGCTTTAATGTTTACCCATAAAACGTAATGTACAAAGTAGCTGACTCTTCCATGGTTTAACCGATCACTCTAGGTTCCCGTACATAGCCCCTCTTATCTTCTAGGACAGGGGTGCCCATTAGGTAAATCGTGATCTACCAGTAGCTCTCAAAGCTGATGCTGGTAGATCACGAAGGGTGTGAATGGTGGCCCCTTTGTTCCATTTTGTGCACACATGATTACCTATTGGCCTGAGTCTGCTGAGCCAAGCTCCCTGACACCTTTCTGATGGATACTGGTGGTTGAAGTGCTATGTATTACATCAAAGAATATTAGTTTACACAGCCTGCTGCACTGCACTGTTTGCAAAATACAGCAAGGTGAGCCAGGAGAGAGAGCGGGGACAGACAGACGGGAGAGAGAGCGGGGAGAGACAGACAGGAGAGAGAGAGCAAGGAGAGACAGCCAGGAAAGAGAGAGAGGAGAGACAGCCAGGGGAGGGAGAAAAGAGAGACAGCCAGGAGAGAAAACAAGGAATGACAGCCAGGAGAGAGAGTGAGGAAAGACAGCCAGGAGAGAGAGGAGAGACAGCCAGGGGAGGGAGAAAAGAGAGACAGCCAGGAGAGAAAACAAGGAATGACAGCCAGGAGAGAGAGTGAGGAAAGACAGCCAGGAGAGAGAGGAGAGACAGCCAGGAGGATGAGCAAGGAGAGACAGTTAAGAGAGAGAGCAAAGAGAGACAGCCAGGAGAGAGAGAGCGAACAAGAGTTTTTTGTTCGTTGGTAGATCTCATGTAGCTCGTCATTTGAAAAGTAGATCTTAACACAAAAAATTGTGGGCACCCCTGTCCTAGGAGCTTTCTAATATTCCAACGGAAAGACTGATATCAGAAAAGGGGTGCTTAACCTCACTCTGTATTCTCGCCATACTCAGCAACAGTCCCTCATTGTGGTAGGTGGCCTTACTGACCAACTGTTAGATGTTGGATTCAGTAGGTAAGTTGAAGTCACCATTTGCAAGTTTTTGACCCCTCCTCAAAGATAGCATATAGAGGAACCTGCTGATCTATCCCATAGAAGGTTTGCTACAGTTGCCCTGAGTGACTATAGATACATTTTAAGTAAATTGCTAGTTTTATGACATTGTTATTGACTCCTGCTAGAAAGTATTGTTTCTGTGAAAAGTTTGGATTTTGTTTATGTTTGTTTCTTCTATCTCATTTGTTTCTTCTATCTCAGGATAGTAAAACTTATTCCATATCCTTTTGATCTGATTCAGCATTATTTCCCATTTTCAGAGCCTTGATTTGTAATCATGTGTTGCTCATAACTCAGATATCTTTGTACTGAAAGCTTTATTGCATTGGCAAAGAAGATTACTGTAACAATGATTGGTTAAAAATCTCCAACCCAACAATTTTCATCTATGACCATTTCTGTATCATACCTGTGTGACTGTCCTGATTTGTGGAAGCCGACTTCAAAGGTTGGATTTTAGGGCAGCAAACTGTTTCTTGTTCCATTTTTTTTACATGTGTTTCTTCAGCGAAACCTCCATTAGGACTTTAACGTCCCACCGCATACAGAAGACATTTATTTATAAAAGATATATTTAAAGATGTGCAGCCACAAAAGATAAGTGGTGATCTTAGGGGGCAGCACAATAAAAATAACTTGGAGGGGGGCATCAAATTAAAAACTCTACTTATATAATTGAGCAGTTGTACCAAGTTGTAACAGTCGTGCTATGGCCACCTTTGGACACCATATTCTAGAACTCATTTTAATTTGTAAGTTTTGGATTGACTCTCTGAGCCCGTGTTTACATAAACATCCAATTAAAGACATCAGTGCTAATTAGCCGAAGGGAAATTAGCTCATTCTAAGCTCTTTAGGATAAAGCATCTCAGTGACTTACTTATTAAAGGACAGCGCCGGAATTGGATAAATGACAGATGTTCAGTATGACGAAAAGGAGGACCTGTCCCATTTCCAGTAAGCCTGGGGCAGTCTGCCTACTGCTGTGTCTATAGCACCTGCGGAGTTCAAGCTTGTGTTTGGTAATGTGGCAAATTACTGTCAGCCTACCCAGGACAACCTACAGTATAATGGACATGTCAAGCAACGTCACCATCAAAGATTTATTTTGGACTTTGTGAAACATGGAGCTTATGACTCTTACTGGGCAGCCAGGATGCATGACGCAGGCTGAAATGTGATGGATTATATTATTTCTTGCCAATTTGCAGATGGGAGAGTGACCCATTTGATAATAATATGACTGTAATACAGTAAATAATATTAAATATCTGTGCGTTCTATTATTGAGTGAATTTGTGTCAGTGTGTTGCTACCTATAAAGTGCCAGATGATGTTGGCGAACTACAGGTCCCAGCTTTCTATACTTTAAAGTGACGTTAAAGTAAAAAAAAAATTTCCCTCTCCCCAATGTTAATGTCAGCACTTACCTTAAATGATGTCTCTTAATCCGATCTTCTTCTTCTTTCCTGTCATTTTCATTTGTCTCTCCAGCGGTGCGGCGGCTCTCTGATCCAGCGCTGACTCCTCTCTGCTTGCAGGCACTTCCAATCCAGCGGTGTCTGCATGCGGGTGCACGCGTCCATAGACTTACCTTGCGTCTTTGCTCGTCTCCTGACCGAGAATCCGAACTGCGCTTGCGCCCGCCCCAAGATCCTTTGCGGCCGCATGAGCAGTTACAGATTCTCAGCGCGGGAGCGCGCAGCGATAACGAGGTAAGTTTAAACCGCTGTTAAAGCATTTTTTTTTTTTTACTCTTTGCCTTTATCTACTGCTTGCCAGCAGTAGATATAGGCAAAAAAAAAACCCCGGAGGCTTTAGAACCCCTTTAAGTTAAACATTTAAACGTCACTTTTAATCCTATTTTCCCTAACATGAGTTGCCCTCAAACCTGTAATCAGTTTTCAGACAGCAACCTGACTCTACAGTTGTACAGAAGATGACTTGGAATGCCACATCTTACCTTTATCATGCAAAAACACACAGCTGTTTGGCAGGGGGCGGAGACAGGAGATGGGGCGGACGCCCGGGAGATCGAAGAGGTGAAGATGGAGGAGACTGGAGGGCCGATGACGGTAGCTGAGGAGGCGGGGAAAGGCGGAAGATTGAGGAGACGTTGATTGTGTGCCGAGGCAGCGGAGGAGGCCTTTTTTCCAGTGCCAGGTAGGAGGACGACTGTGCTGGCAGGGCCCAGCATAGATTCTGCACAGCCCCCCTGAGATCCGGCAGACTGCAGGGCCTGTGGGGATCTCTGCAGGATCTGTGGGGGGCTTTGCAGGATCCCTAAGGGTCTCTGCAGCCTGCAAAGCCCACCACAGATCCTGCACAGCCCCCCTGAGATCTGGCAGACTGCAGAGTCTCAAAGGGGAATCTGCAGGGTCTGTGGGGGGCTTTGCAGGATCCGTGGGGGGCTTTGCAGGATCCGTGGGGGGCTTTACCAGATCCATATGGGTTGCTGCAGCCTGCAAAGCCCACCACAGATCCTGCACAGCCCCCCTGAGATCCGGCAGACTGCAGAGTCTCAGGGGGTCTTCGCAGGATCTGTGGGGGGCTTTACAGGATCCATGGGAGTCTCTGCAGC